TGAAATCACTGTATTCATATTTTGATTGGATGCTGGGCATGTTTTGTCATGGCAAAGTGAAACAGAAAATTTTGTGGTCAATATGCATTGGCTTGTAGTGCGGGAACCAATGTGGAAGTGCCATGAAGTAATACCCCCAATTCGAAACTTTCCTTGATTACACATCTTCCCTGGGAATTGGATGAGAGATGTTTACTGTAACCTTTGCGGTGCTCTGTTTGAGCAGCAGTGCAATTTGACGTGTAACTGCTTGTTGTGTTGACTGGAGCGATTGTTGCAAGGTTGCGCGGAGGATATCGATGAGGAATGTTGTCACGGCCTTAAAGTGCGAAATGAAAGACGTGGGTGAGGGAGAATGCCCGCACGACCCTCATTTGTAAGCAAAAAAGGGTGATTAACACTTTGGCGCTACCTTCGCTATATTGGCCTTGTAACCCCTTTTACAATCCACTTCCTGAAATTATATACCGTGTCCACCCGGATAGCGCTACTAATAAATCAGTTGAAAATCCAAGGTGCGCTTGTAATGTGGTAATTTTTATTAGCGCATGCGCAGAATTTAATCACCATACTGGAATTCAATTTTTTATACATCAAATTTTAGCCAGCAATACAGAGATTGCAACCGTACTGGTTTCACGGTGTGGTAGTATTAGAGAAATCGGTGAATCTGCCAGCGCAGCAATTTGGTTCAGGGACGTGGAGTACTGGTCCCGGGACGGTCTTCCTGAACATCTGCCCATTCCCACCTATCCCCCTCACAACAAAAAACGACCGCATCATTCTATCACGAACCGAGATGCCCGGCCCCCCTCTAATAGGAATAAGCAGACAACACGCAAAAGGAATGCGTGCACCGCGGCGGAGAAGGTGAAGTGGGTCGAGCGGCTTGCGGCTTGTGACAACGTCAGCAAGGTGGCGCAAGTGCATCACGGAGTGGAAGCGCCAGCTTGACGACCTCACCGCTGCCGCTGCATGTCGCAAGCACCTGCACGGGCACGGGCATGCGTCGTGGTATCCTGACATGGAGCGGAAGCGTTACTTCCTGCTCATCATCGCACGCACCAAGGGACTGGCGGTGAGCGTCTGGCGCCTCCACGAGTGGGTGCATGACATCATGAAAGAGCTGCACCTGGATGTCGACTGGAAGGGCTCGTACCGCTGGACGAAGCGCTTGTGCCGCAGCTGGAATCTGTCCGTATGCGCAAAGGCAAAAGTCAGACAGAAGCTTTCAGACCGTAAGTGCCGTGGTCATTTGTTTTCACTCGTTGTTTCATTTGTTTCATCATATATCGATGCGTATCCATCCCTTGTAACTGACATGGTTGTATTCAATCCTGTGTCTTCGTGAATCCCCCCCTCCTAGAGTGTGAAGTGCAGGTGAAAAACTTCTGGAAATCGGTGCGCTTTACTCACCGCACCAGGGGCATTGAGAACCAGGGGATCATAAACGCCGATCAAACCCCCCAGATTCTCGAAATGCCGGCCGACGACACCGTTGAAAAAATTGGCACCAACTCCGTTCCCATTCGGAGCGCAGGCTGCCAAAAGGAGCGAGTTGCCGTGATGCTCGCATACACCGCGACAGGAGAGAAGTTGAAGCCCTGGGTTTTTTTTTTTTTATGAGAGAGGCCTCCGAAGGGGAATTTCCGAGACGGCGAGTTTCTTCTCTAGACTCGGAGGTGTGCACGCCTCCATCCGAATGCATGCCTTCGTATCGTCACCTTACCTTCGTGTGTGTGCATGTATTTACAGATGTGGTGGTGGCGGCTCAACCGAATGGCTGGATGGATGCTGATGGAGTCATCAGATGGCTGGATGAGGCGGTGAAGCCCTTCCTCCGTCCGCGCTACGGGCCGCACGCGCGCGTGACACTTCTCATCTTCGACTCCTATCGTAGGCATCTAACCCTAGAGGTCCGAGCAAAGTACACGGAACTGGGCCTGGTGCCAGGCGTGATTCCGAGCGGCTGCACGTCGGAGGTGCAGCGCTTGACATCGCCATCAACAAGTCTTTTAAAGCCGCTGTGCAAAAGCAGTTCCAGGAGTGGTTTGAGCGGGAGGGCATCATGAACTTCACAGCAAAGGGTGAGAATCAAGCCCTATTGCTAGCCGTAGCTAGTGATGCCAACCTTGACCCAAGTCTCACTGTCTTCCTCGCAGGGAACCTCAAGAAGCCCCACCCGAGGAGACGCTGCAGTGGATTTCGAAGGCCTGGAAGGCTATCTCTGCGTCTCTCATCAAGAAAGCATTTCTTACCTGCGGCATCAGCAACGCACTCGACGGCTCTGAGGACGAGCTGTGTCTTCAGCACAGGCTCAACGGCGAGCCCACGTCCGTTGATGTGACAGACGATGTGGCTGCAGACGGCTTCTTCACCAACAACGCCACTGAGGCGGAGTCAGATGGCGAGGATGAGGCCGACGATGAGGTCGACGAAGAGGCCAACGAAGAGGTCGGCGAGGCCATAGACTACACTAAGCTTAAGATGGCATGTAGAACCTGTTGTATGCATGCCTTAGTATGTTAACCAAATGTGAAACAGAACCCAATTGAAGCGCATGCGCTTATAATAAGTTGAGCCTAAAATGGGGGTGTGCGTATAAACTGCAAGTCCTTATAAGCGCAGTCACCCGGGTATAAGCGCATGCGCTAAATAAATGGGTGCGCTTCTATCCAGGTGGACACGGTAAGTTCTTGAAATCAATGTGCATCTCATAACTCTTTTCATACAATAGAATTTCTTCTCATCTATTTGCCACACACCTCAATAATTCACAGCCCCAGGAACAATGTGTACGATTTTCCACCTAGTGGTCAGATGCATACTCAATCTCAGCTCAACATCCACTATCACTGAGCAACAGTCGCCCCCCATACCACGTCATCCTCCGAACCGTCTCTCGCCACTTGTTTCTTCTTTCCTCCCTCCCTGTCCATCCAGTATCTCTTGCTTGGGGTTGTATTTGTTCCGGGATCTAGATGCAAAACAGGGAAAAAAAAAAAGTAAAAAGATCAAAATAGAAACTCGGACAACTATGTTACGATAATGATGCTTAAGCAAATTCATAGAAAAAGGGGCATGCATAAAAGGAACAGTCCATGCCTAACACAGATGAGTACGATGTACCTATCCGCATATGTGGCGCCGACTGTATCCTGGTCTTGTAGAGTGGCGGGGCAGGCCTGGTCTGATGCCTTTCATTTATGACACCAACGAGTATGGGGCCACATCCAATTTGTAGGATTTGGGTGATACCCCCAGAGCTCGCAAATGTCGTCACACTCTATATCATGCAAAAGACATTTCCCCTCCCCCCTTCTCCCCTCCGTCCATGGTTTCCTCAACTACCTCGATCGGCTCAAATCCACCAACGAACTCAGAAGCTCTCAACTCACCTCTCTATCTCCGCCAACGGAAGATGTCGCACACCTGACTCAGCCTTGGCTGGTGTCCCACGGGTGAATCATCGGTACATGGACTTGCCCCCTCCCCATCCCCTTCACTCATGCTGCTGCATGCTGTCATTGCCAGCAAAACCAGAGCTTGAGTTACACTCACTGGACACGCCGCATCTTATGGTACTTCTAATGCGATCTCTCTTCTCCAAGTTCTCTGAACGCCCAGCCCTCTTTGCGGAAAATCATTTCAATCCCCCCTTCTTTTTCTATTGTTAACTTTTACTGACAGTGGGTGCTTTTTGTGCCAACAACTGCGCTCTCATGTGTATTAGGGAAACGTCCCACAAATTCTCTACTATAATAGCTTTTCCACTCACGCATCATCTCTGCATGCATCGATTATGTCACGCACGAGTTTTTTGGACAGCGACCATCATGCTACACACATAGCGACGTTAAATGTGCCTCCTTCATCCGTGATAATGCCTTCCACTAGAGTTGAGCAATTGCCCCGCTCGGGTCGGGTCGGTTTTGCCCAAGTCGGGTCACGGTTTCCAAATTCCTACCTCGTACGGTCCGACACGACCCGACCTGGGCAGAAACCCGACCCGAGAGAGCCCAACCCGAGCCGGGTCGGGTCGAGTTTCGGGTTGGGCCAGACCCGACCCGAATTCGGGCCATGAATGTCGAAATCAGGTCGGGCCAAGCGCGCGACCCGATTTAGACATGTCAGGTCCGAAATCCTAACACAAAATGAAATCGATGGGACTTTCTCCCCGTTGATTTCGATTCGCCACGCCAGCACCTAGTAGACTTAGAGCAATAGTAATGGTGCCTTAAACGACCTTAGTACTTAGGATTCCGCAGACGACATTAAAGAGTTTAACGTACCTTCCTAGATCTACGACTCTGGCTGCAAATCGTGGTGTTCTCTCTTCTCCTTAGGGTAGTATTTCAGCCACTATTCTACAAACGGTTTCTGTATGTTTCTTCCACCACGATCCAGCCTTGACATGCGCGTGGTAATAAACACATTTATCAGCAAACACACCTACATTGCGGAAAAGTTTTGGGCCGGCCGTTTGCACTGTGACGGGGAGGCCGCGAGCACACGTCGAGGCGCATTCTGTGGGGGTGCGGTTTTCGGGCGCGAACCATGTCAGGCATTGACGGTGATCCTGCCAGCTCCAGGGCAATTCCTGGAGCATCTTGCGCAGCCCTCGGGATCCCATCTTTCGGGGGGGAGGGTTTCCAATTGAACCAGCTCCCCATGTCCCATACACACCATCAATTACCCACAATGGAAGGCACGTGCTTATAACGAATGTGTAGCAGATGCTAACTTGTACCCATGTCCCATCCTTATTTATGAACATTCCCCTCTATTCCCATAATCCTTATCTCTATCCCCCTCTCAGCCCAACTTCTCCAAAGCCACACGCGAGGCATTGGCAGCGATCAGGCTGTCCGATGCTCACTGGCCATATCTCATCGAGCTGTGTGCTTTCCTCAAGCCATTTGACGCCATCACCCTCTTCGTGGAGGGGTCGTTGTACCCCACCATGGGATCTGTTGTGCCCCGGTACAACATGCTCTTCGATGTTCTGTACACGAACTTGCGTTCGCCAGACGTCTCGCAGCTGTGCAGGGACCTGTTCACAGCGGCTTTTAGCAAGCTGGAGCGCCGCATGGGGGGAAGGGGTGAGCGAGGAGGCAGCGATTGCTACCTTCCTCAATCCGCGCCTCAAGACTGCGACCTTCAGGCTTAGGGCCCAGGGGGCGAGGATTAGCGCGCCCATTGTGGTGGAGGCGGGGGGCCATGCCAGGGGGGCCAGGGCACTCAACCTGGACGAGGAGAGGGTGAAGGCGCTGATACGCGAGCGCCTTCCACCGTACCAAGCAGCGGCCCGTGCAGCGGCAGAGGCACGCTTCGGGGGTGAGGTCACGAGCGCTAGGAGAGTGGCGGAGCAGGGCATGGCAGTGGTCGGGGCTGCAGGGCGTAGGGGGGCTAGGTCGCGTGGCGTGCTCGACTTTCAGGCTATGCCGTTTGCTGAGCTAGCAGAGATGGAGGCGGAGGAAGGCGTGCGGGCACAGGACGAGGTGGACCAGTACTTGGCTGAGGCGAGGCAGGAGGGTGGGTGCTCCTTAGTGTACTGGCGCGGGAGGGAGCAGCAGCTGCCCGGGCTTAGGGCCAAGGCACGCGATTTTCTGGGTATCCCCGTCACGTCTGCGGCGAGTGAGCGAGCATTCAGTCAGAGCAGGAATATCATATGGTGGCAGAGGCGTCGTCTGAGCCCACAGCAGATGCGTGCGGCCATGATGATCAACACATGGCACGATCACCACCCTGGACAGAGGCTTGAGATTTGTGGTGGCACTAGGACTATGCTGGCACAGCTGTGCCTTAAGGCAGAGCAGCTGGGGTTGTGAGAGACAGTTGCTCGGGGAGAGTTGGGGCGTTTACATTTACCATTGTGTCTTTCCAAGCACTGCACTATTATATTTATCAGAGACCTTCTTGTTTGTGTGGCAGATTGCATTTGCAGTTGCAGCTTTGGGTTTTTATTAGTGGAAAAATTCATAGTGTGGTTGACCACATCCATTTATAGTAGCGGACCCAAACAAAAAATCAAGAGAACCATTCTTCAGTGACGCTTTATACGTTTGTAAAAAAAAAAAAAATCCATCGTACATGGCAAGGAAAGTACTTCACTGACAATGCATACATCAGTAGTTCCAATGGTAGACGTACAATGAATTTTAAACATAAATTAAGGACAACTATTACAGAGAAACATGTAATGAACATCCCCAACCCCCTCTAAAGGGGCGGGTCATCCTGGCCCGACCCGACCCCTGGTTTTTTTTTACCCGACTGAGTAGGCCCGGGTCGGGCCAGAACCTTCAAGCGTTTGGCCCGAGCCTGGCCCGACCCGACCCGACCCAGGAGTCCGTGTGGACCGGCCAAGTGGGGTCGGATCGGGCCGAGCCGGGCCGGCTGCTCAACTCTACGTTCCACTCAAGTTAGTCAAACCTTGATTGGATGCTAAACCCTCTAACTCCATAGGTTTGACACCTTCGAGTTGTGAGATCACCTCCCTCATCTGACCCCATCGAAAATCAACACGCATCTAATGACCGGATATAAACATTTTTTCATGCTCTCACACACTCGCTCCATGCATAGTGCAGCATGGCACTCAATAGTATCCTATAGCACCCCCAATCCTCGCATATAAATGTAGAATGTAGACTTTCAAGGCATCGCCATATCTATGTTTCGACATACCTCCCACATAACCTGGGAACCAATGCCAACCAATGCAAATAAGACCATACATCTCTGCTTTACGGGCACCTTTTTCTGCCTCCCCACTGACTCGTTGGGACAGAACGCTTGTCACTCTAACGACCACCATGACCAGCATTTTTTGCACACATCACACTCCCCACTGCAATTTAAGACTTGCACAGTCCAGTTTCCATGCTGTCAGTCGCATAAGACCTTTACACCCTCCCATTCTGTTGCATGCAACTCGAGGATGGGGTAAAAATTACAGAATACGTGCCTAAGTCCGCTAACAATCAAGGTTGCAACCCATCCGCCCCCCCATTTTGACGAGTTCAACTTGCCCCAATCGTCTGATCTCGTAACACCGAGAAATAGGGAGGAGGGGGAGGGGGAGGCGTATCAGAATATTATGCTCTAGCCTGTAGTGGGGTGCTCTATAGTGAGTACAACCCTTCTAGGGTTTGCTATTTGTATCCCCATTCTTACTAGTGCAACCTCTCTTTGCCTAAACTTCTCTTGCCTAGCTAGGGTTCTCCTAGCTATGGCTCCTAACTATCTTTACTATCTTGACATGGTATCAGAGCAGGTCGATCCCTTTGGATCGATCCTGTGGGTGGGCTCACCACCTCGTTGCTTCCGCTGCAACTTCCGCTGCTACTCTATGTGCCGCACGCCACGGGGCGTGCGGCAGTTTTTTCTTCCCGCCGTGCGCCCCGAGGCGTACGGCGGTTTTCTGCCCGCCGTGCGCCCCGTGGCGCGCGGCGGTTCTCTGCCCGCTGTGCGCCCCGAGGCGCGCGGCGGGCTTCTGCCCCGTCACTCGACGCGTCGCCCCCGGGAGGCGTTGCGACGGGCGACGGGGACCCGCGCGTCGCCCCCCGTCGCCCGTCGTGGCCTGCGCGCGGCCCGTACAGCCGGCGTGCGGCCCGTACGGGCTGCGCCAGGCCTGCGCGCGGCCCGTACGGGCTGCGCCAGGCCCGCGCGCGGCCCGTACGGGAAGCGCCAGGCCCGCGCGCGGCTCGGGCCGCCTGCGCGCGGTTCGGGCGGCTATGCCAGGCCCGTGGGCGGCCCGTTCCTCGCTGCCCCTGCCCTCCCCACTGTCCCCCGTGCTTCTACTGGCGCCCCACCCCTCCTACAGCCCGTTCTCCTGAATTAGGGTTTGGGGGTGAGGGGTATGGGGGTGAAGCCACTGAGTGCCGTTCCCTGTTCCTCCTCCTCCTCCGTCTCCCTGTGCTGCAGCTGCCGCTGAGGGGGGGTGGACTTGTTGGAGCCGTTGGAGTGGTACTAAGGGGGGGTGAAGGGGGAGTGGAGCTAGCGGTGTAGCAGCGGGTGTGTGTCAGGGGGAGTGGGATAGTTTGGGGAGGTTGAAGGGGGTGGCCGCCGTGAAGCCAGCAGCTCCAGTCGCCCGTGAGACCGTTGCGCCAGTCGCCCGTGAGCCCGTTGCGCCAGTCGCCCGTGAGCCCGTTGCTCCAGTCGCCCGTGAGTCCGTTGCTCGTCTGCCGCTACTTTCAGCCGCGGAGCCAGTTACTCCAGTAGCCCGTGTGCCAGTTGCTCCAGTTGCCAGTGTGCCAGTTGCTCCAGTTGCCCGTGTGCCAGTTGCTCCAGTTGCGCCGTGTGCCAGCAGCTTCAGCTGCCGCCCACTACCTCCTCTCCTCTCATAGTCTCTTTCCTCCTCCTCACTTGCCCGTTGTGACTACCACTAGCTTTGCTCATAATTGTGAACTTTAAACTATTGCTTCTTGAACTTGTGCTCAGAATGTGTGGTGACATTGTGATCCACCCTGAGCTTGTACTGCTTTGCTTGCTCTGCTGATTACACCCCACTTTGGCTATGGGGGTGTGTCAGAATATTATGCTCTAGCCTGTAGTGGGGTGCTCTATAGCGAGTACAACCCTTCTAGGGTTTGCTATTTGTATCCCCATTCTTACTAGTGCAACCTCTCTTTGCCTAAACTTCTCTTGCCTAGCTAGGGTTCTCCTAGCTATGGCTCCTAACTATCTTTACTATCTTGACAAGGCGGGGGGGGAGGGGGAGGGGGAGGTGGGCGGAGGTAGGGGGAGGGGGAGGGGGGTGGGGGTGAGGGGTTTGGGGGTTGGTGGGTGGGAAGTCGCGATAGGGCAGCAGGGCGCATTGTGAGTTGTGATAGGTCAGTGGGGTGAATTGTGTTGTGGCAGCGAGGTGAGTTGAGATGGTCCAGCGGAGTGATTTGTGCAAGGACAGGGGGGTGAGTGGTGCTAGGACAGCGGGGTGATTTGCGATAGGGCAGCGGGGTGAGTTTTAAGGAGTCAGCGATATTGGTAGTACTGGGGTAGTGTTGTGAGTTGTGATCGGGGTCAGCATTCATACGGACACTTGTGCTCGCTAACTTGACGCACCTGTGCAGCCCCGGTTTGCATCTGTCGTCGCAGTCGACATCGACTAGGTCATGTTCTTTCTCACTATTGTTCACCATGGGGTCGTCATTGGTTGAGTTACGTCCTCCCTGGTCGGCGTCCACCATCTCAATGCATGTAGTCATTGATTACATATTGGCGAGAGGGTGCATTGTATTGACAACGGGAGACTCACGCCGACGGCCAATATTAGTTAGTGGAATCTAGAGTGAGGATTATGTACGGTCAAAGATAGTCAACGTGAGCAAATAGGTTATGGAGGGTGAAGCCATCTCCACGCTGGCACTAACAATCTTGTTTCTTATCAACCTTGTCCCATCTCAACGCAATTGTCGCTCGCACTATACATCGGCCGCCCTATCGGACAACTCGTCCGTGCAATGCCCCATTTGCCGCTATGGTAAAGGTGGCAAAGTCATAATTTAGGCCATTAATGTCACGCAGCTCCTTTTTCATGGCTTCTAATGGTGACTACGCACGTTTCGTCCGGCAAGAAGTCCACGCTCTTCCTCGCGAGTCTCCCATCCCCGCGGTAACGAGATGGAAGGTAAACTGTAATTAAGACCCATCTTATATATCTGGCTATATCTAGAACAACATGAACAGGACCTACAGCTTTTCCCTGCCGCCCCTCGCCTTCAACAAGTAGGAAGAAAACCAAATCCGCTAGGCTCGCAGGCATGCCGATGAGGCTGGACAAGCCGATTTGCAAGAAACAAATCGGCAAGTGCATGTGCCTCGATACGCCGGGGCTCGCCCTTGCTAACAATATCATGTACATTCTCCACAAAAACAAATGGTTCACCCTCATATTTGCTGGCTCCTTTGCGGGAGCTGCGATGATTAAGGGCGTGTGAAAACGTAACAGGGAGGTTTAAGGTGTTAGGGGCAGAGGAGTTACGATGGTATAAAAAAGGTATTTTGAAAGCGAAACTGTTTGTAATGTAGGAATGAGCAGAGTCGAGCCGCGCTAAACGCCCGTTTTGGAGTACAAAACGTGGGCTGGAGGTCATTTCCCTCCACCCACGTCTCTTATTTTCAAACGGTTTAGCATATTTTCCCGCCCACCCACCCTTCCAAACCGTGACAACTGTAGTAAGGTGTCTGCATAATAGCCTGCTAGAATTGCCTAGATTTCAATTGTACTAAACCCACCTGAAATGAGACAATGACATTGCTACATGAAAGAAAGCAAGCTTTCTATATTTGGTTAATATCTAGTTATGTCTCCTCCTAATCGCTTATTGAGGTGATGGTGGCCTCCCCCTCACTAGATATCCTTAGAGACGGCTTTTCCTCCTCTCTCATAAGATGGCTGAACGACGTCTAATCATTAACATAAAATCCAAAGCAACCGCGAGGGCAGAATGTGCCAGCTACAAAGTTGTGGTGTGGGTCACTCGACGTGCTCTAGCCGTGCTATCGCCATTCACATGCGATAACGTAACCCTAGACACGTGTGAGGCCCGACACTCTGATACGTACTTAGTCGTATAAACTAGATGCTTATATTCTTATTGCCGAGATGGCGGTATGTACGCTTTCCAACTCTATAGTTCCAATCTGTCTGATTAATGGTCTATGTTCTTATGTCTGGTTGTTACTTGTTTGTGATGATGGCTTGAGTTCCGCCCTACCGCGTGCGCATTCCTCCAAACCAACCTTAAACGGATTTGGTTAATCTCACTAGTCTTGTTTGCTCACATCGCACCAACTTTACAAACCCTTGGATATTTTGCCAGCAAAT